GCTTCAACTCCCAGAATTCCCCAGCCAACACGCTGGGTTAAAATCCACCCAACTTAAAACTGCCAAGGGTAAACAATACTGATCTAGATGTAAGAGTCGAGGTGGCGCAGTGGTTAGAGTGCAGCACTGCAGGCTAATTCATCTGACTGCTAGCTGCAGTTCGGCAGCTCAAATCTCACAGGCTCAAGATTGACTCAGCCTTCCATCCTTCCAAGGTGGGTAAAATGAGGAGCCAGATTGCTGGGGGGCAAGAGGCTGACTCTGGAAACCACTTTGAGAGGGCCGTAAAAGCACTGTGAAGTGCTTTATTATATTACAATAGCACTTATTTGTGGTGAATAAGTGCAATGACTTAAGTACTTATTTATGGTGTAGAAGTGCTATTGCTATTTGGATTACAGAAACAATATTCCAAAATGTGGAAAGGAAATACAGCTAAATGCAGACTGTAGGCCATACTTCATCGTTCTTTTTCTGCCATAAATATCTCTTGGTTTCATTTCGCTTAGCTACAGGAAAGTAATACTGTAGTCACTCAGCCCCACTCCGGTATAAATACAAAACTGAACAACAGAACTACGGCTCAATATTTGCAGGTTATATCAAAGGAGAGATTGCAAAATGTGTAAACCTAGGAGATCATCAACGTATTTGGTCTCTGAATGAAAAGGCCTTTGATGGGTATGTGCTCTTTTTCTGGGTTGGAATAATAATAATAATAATAATACAGAGGGCAGTTACTTCAACACAGGTATCCTAGGGGGGAAATGTACTGCCACGATGTGAATTCTGGGCTCCCGAATCTCTGATCCAGAGCTACAGAATTCAAAGTCCTGAAGTTGTTGTAAGAGAAGGTTTTCAACCTCATAGCCGAAGTAAGAATCTGAAACATGTTGGAACAAAGGGAGGCAAGAAAGCAAGCATTTGTGAGCTTTCCCTTGATTGCCCTCTGGTCCATCTCCTGATCCATTCCCTTCCCGGTTATTTTTTCAATGAACCGCAAAAGAGCCTCGTGTTCACCTTTCCCATTCTAACAATCACCAAACATCTCGAGATGTTTCTCCAACAAACCTAGCCCTAGAGGACAGACAGGAACGCTGTTGGCCTCTTTCCTAACAAAAGACTTGACGTGGGCCGTCGTTTGGCGTCCCCAAAGAAAGTGATGTCCCAAGCACGGCCAACTGTGAAGCAGAAGAGTTTATGGTCACCCATCCTTGAGCTTCTGGTCAGATGAAGGTGAACTCCTTGTGGCTGGGAAGTTTATAACCCCAGCTCTCCTTCAGCTGCTTGTAAAGGGATGCCTTTTCTTCTTCCAATTGTGCAATGCGATGGCATTTTTGGGACACCTCCTGTTAACCAAGTAGACATCAATGATTATGACATAAGTAGCATGATTTCTTCCATCCGTCTAACATCTTTGGAGCCTTCCTGCTCTTGGAAGGAGCTTGTGGTTGCTTACTTCCCAATTCAAGAGGTTCCCTCAGCCTCCTTTGGGGCCATGTTACTGAGCAACCAAAGATGGACAAGCATTGGTCCTTCCAGAATTGATGTACTCCAACTCCCATCAATCTTACACGACTGGTGTGAGGAGGATGGGAATGGCAGTTCAGTAGCTTCTGGAGGGCCACAAACCGTCCACTCTCTACTATGTTTTCATACCAGGATGCAAGAGAGGGGAAAGAGAATGGAGCGCAACCTTTGTTGCATGTTGGTGGCGCAGTGGTTAGAATGCAGCTCTGCAGACAACTTCTGCTGACTGCCGGCTTACTGCAATTTGGCAGATCGATTCTCACCAGGCTCAAGCCTTCCATCCTTCTGAGGTCAGCAAAATGAGGACCCAGATTGTTGGGGGCAAAAGGCTGACTCTGTAAACCACTTAGGGAGGTAAATGTAAAACAGTACATAAGTGCTATTTCTATTTCTCTTTTCAACTACATCAGGAGGTCCCATTGAGGCTCATGCAACCATTTGTGTTTTTATATAAAGATTATATTTTTTTAAAAAAATATCTTGCCAGAGGAACTCACAAAACAATCTCACGTCATAGATGCAAGCTGAATTCTTAAATACTGCAAACAATCAGAATCTTTTTGTTTATTATTGGCTATAGGTAGTCCTTGACTTACAGCCACTAATTTTACAGCAAATTAATTGTTACCCATGAACTACCCATGTTCAAGTACACACACACACACACACACACAAACACACCACACCCCTATCATGGATTCCAATACAAAATGCAGGATAGCCAGATGAGTGGTTCAAACTTAATCAGAGATGACCAATTTATATTTCAAAGGCAAATCATATTACAGGAGAAGAATAGATTGTCTGAACTGAACCTATAAATGATTTCCAAGGAGCAGTTATGACAAAGGGAGATATTAAATTCTACCTGCTATTGACAGATTCCTTAGTATTGCAGTCCATCAAAGATTTCTCAGTGGGTTAAAATTTTATTTCTCCTGACCGTTCCAGATGGTGGAAAAGTACTATTTTCTCTTAGGGAGAAATAAGCAACAACCAAACATTCCAAATAAAATAAAATAAAATAAAAATAAAACAAATAAAATAATAATAAATAAATAAATAAATAAATAAAAATAAAATAAATAAATAAATAAAAAAATAAAATAAATAAATAAATAAATAAAAATAAAATAAATAAATAAATAAAAACAATAAAATAATTAAAAAAATAATAAAATAAAATAATAAAATAAAATAATGAATAAAATGAAATGAAAAAATAATAAAATAAAATAAAATAAAATAAAATAATAAAATAAAATAAAATAAAATAAT